CTGGGATGACGGGGAGAGGTCCAGGAGGGGGAATGGGAGGCACTGGGAGGGTACAGAAGGACTGACTGGGAGGCACAGCCTGGATAAGTGGGAAGCACAGAGGGAACTGGGGGGCAACAGTATGGATAACTGTGGGGCACAGGGGGAACTGGGAGGCTACCCAAACACTAACTGGGGAGCACAGGGAGAACTGGGAGGGTCCCTTAGCTCTAACTGGGGCGCACAGGGGTAACTGGGAGGGTGTAGGAGCACTAACTGGGTGAACCAGGGGGCACAGTGTAGATAACTGTGGGGCACAGGGGGAACTGGGAGGGTACCTAAGGTCTAACTGGGGGGCACGAGGGGAACTGGGAGGGTACCTAAACTCTTAACTGGTGGGGCACAGCATAGATAACAGAGGGCACACAGAAGTGTCTGGGGGGCACAGAGGTGATGTGTGGGCACAGGGGGTGATGTGAGGGGCACAGGGGGTGATGTAGAGGTCACCCCAATGCTAACCTGTCTCTGTGGATAACAGAGGGCACACAGAAGTGTCTGGGGGGCACAGAGGTGATGTGTGGGCACAGGGGGTGATGTGAGGGGCACAGGGGGTGATGTAGAGGTCACCCCAATGCTAACCTGTCTCTGTGGATGTTCTTGCCTCCTCCTGACCCCAGGGCAGGGTCTGGGGGTGTCTCCCAGAGGATGCTGCTCCGGGGACGGCGTCTCCTGCGCTCCTGCCAGCGACTGTTCACGGGGAAGCTGCTGCTGCTGACCAACACTGTGAGCTCTGGAGCTCTGCTGGGAGCTGGGGACACCCTGCAGCAGCTCTGGCACCGCAGGCAGCACCCTGAGAGCCAACACCAACTGGCCAGGACAGGTGACACCCCCAGAGGGGACACAAGGAGCTGGGGAGGGACTGAAGGGCAAGCTGGGCAGTTCCAGAAGGGAGGGGTAGGTGGGGTATGGGGAAGGAATTCCTTCCTGGGAGGTGCTGAGGCACTGGCACAGGTTGCCCAGAGAAGCTGTGGCTGCTCCATACCTAGGAGTGTTCTATTCCAAGTTGGATGGGGCTTGGAGCAACCTGGGCTAGGGGAAAGTGTCCATGCCCATGGCAGGGGGTGGAATGGGATGAGCTCTAAGCTCCTTCCAATCCACACCAGTCTGGAATTCCATGATTCATAGTCTGGACAAAAATTTATCATAGTATAGTATGGGGTTGAAATGGAGCTTAGAGATGAATTCATCCTTGTTGTCACGGGGAGGGAATTAAGGTCTCACATTCCCTTTGTGCCTTTCCCAGAGCTTCGAGATTAATTCATCCTTATTATCACGGGGAAGGAATTAAGGTCTTACATTCCCTTTGTGCCTTTCCTAGAGCTGGATCTGCTTCTAGGAGAAGCATCCAGGATGGCAGTCCTATAAATCATTGAATCATGGAATTCATCCTTGTTGTCACGGGGAGGGAATTAAGGTCTCACATTCCCTTTGTGCCTTTCCCAGAGCTTCGAGATTAATTCATCCTTATTATCACGGGGAAGGAATTAAGGTCTTACATTCCCTTTGTGCCTTTCCTAGAGCTGGATCTGCTTCTAGGAGAAGCATCCAGGATGGCAGTCCTATAAATCATTGAATCATGGAATGGTTTGGGTTGGAAGGACCTTAAAGGTCATGGAGTTCCACCCCCTGCCATGGGCAGAGACACCTTCCACCAGCCCAGGTTGCTCCAAGCCCCATCCAACTTGGCCTGGAACCCT